AAAAAAAAAACACGTTAGAATTCTAATATATAAAAACTTATAGGTCAAGGGATGGTCTCATGTGCGCATGTTCTATGGAGCATAAGACTCCCAAAAGGTAATGGAGGCTTGCAAAATGCTTCCTACGACCAGATTGAGATTGGTTGTCGAGTGCAGAGGTATAAAGGAGTTTGATTGCGAAATTCATTCATCCAACAAGAAGGAAAGTCATCCACAATGTCGAGTGCAAAGGTTGTGTCTCAATAAATAAAAGTTACTGATTTGCTTATATTAATGAGAAAGNTTGCATTTCTTTTATTCTTGAGAAGCAATCTGTTGGCTATCGAAATCGAAACCACGTGGGCAATCAAATTCGAAATTGATGTACAAAGTATAACAATGCTTAGCCAGAAATACCTTATGAAGTTCTATTGTTTTCTAGGATTGGGTTATACTTTTCTTTGTAGTTTAGGTGGAAGGCGAAGGTGGCCTCCTTTTTGGGATGTTGACGCATAAGTCAGATATCTAAAAAAAAAAAACACGTTAGAATTCTAATATATCAAAACTTATAGGTCAAGGGATGGTCTCATGTGCGCATGTTCTATGGAGCATAAGACTCCCAAAAGGTAATGGAGGCTTGCAAAATGCTTCCTACGACCAGACTGAGATTGGTTGTCGAGTGCAGGGGTATAAAGGAGTTTGATTGCGAAATTCATTCATCGAACAACAGGGAAAGTCATCCACAATGTCGAGTGCAAAGGTTGTTTCTCAATAAATAAAAGTTATTGATTTGCTTATATTAATGAGAAAGTTTGGCACCTCGACGAAAAAGTGAACCAATCATTAAAAGGGACATTAGATAACAGTAAATTATATGAATTTATTTGATGTTAATGGTTTTTATTAGGGTAGTCAAGTTCATAATNCGTATATTAATGAGAAAGTTCGGCACCTCGACGAAAAAATGATCCATTCATTAATAGGGACATTAGATAACAGTAAATTATATGAATTTATTTGATGTTAATGGGTCTTATTAGGGTAGTCAAGTTCATAATTCTACTGAAATACGTGAATCGGCTCAAAAGATTGCTCGGTCGAGGTTGAATGTTTTTCTTTGTCCTGTTAGAATTTTGATATAGTATTGTCCAATTAAATTAGGATTGTACTTGTCTACCCACGTAAAATATGATTTTTAATTTTCTAATTGTAATGGGACCGTTTGGAGTCCCACATTGAATAACAACTAAAACCCATTCACGTTGGGTCCATATAATAATATCTCAATGTTTAAGATGGTCGTGAGCTATCTTAGGGTGAAATTTGGGGATCCTTAATAGTCTTATTTTGTCCTTTTTAGGGTGTGCTTTAGAGTTTGGGGTTTGTGAGATATTCTATATTAGACAATCGTGATTTTCTTTGTTTTGAGAATTTTGACATAAATCTTTGTGTTACTAGTTTTTTTCCATCTTTATATTATCTACTTATCAAATAAATTCTTTAAATAAGGATCGTGTGGACAAATTGACGAATTGGTCTCAATTTTCAAAAATTAATATCAGAGCATTAGGTCGTTTGAAATGGTGGAACATGGAAATTATAAGATAGGTGGCGTGTAGAAGTTTGACGAGAGAATCAATTTTGACTTGTAGCAAGTGCAAGTAAATTATGCTTTAATACAAATTGAAATGCACTAAAATTTGAGAAAAAGAAAAAGAAAAAAAAGGATGATTGAAACTGTTATCAATAAATATGGTTAGTTTGAACGCTTCATATATTGTCCAAAAAGGTATATAGCAACTTCAACTAATTGCTCGAAGTTAACAATGATATTCTTTGAGAAGAATATGTTTATCATTATCACATATATTTGGGTAACAGGTTGTTATGATTGATGATGTGTTATTATTATTGGGGTCCACAAATTTGCAAATGGACACTGGTTTGACATTGATATATGATGTTTGTTGGAATTTATTTCAATCGTTGATGAACTCCTAAAAAACCCAAAAATGAGGATTGCACCATAATTTTAGTAAGATTGTTCGTAAAAGACGATTTGAAATTCTTAAAATTTGTTGATTCTAAGCGTGTATAGATTTTATGGTGGAGTACGTTAATTTTATGTTTTGAGAATTAAGGCCGTAAAAGAAAATGTTGATAATTTTATTTTTTTTTTCAAGTGGTATGACCAAGTGGGTGGATGAGATAGAACTAATGGAGGTTCACGATTCAATTTGGAAGAGGCAAGGAAGAAATCCTATTTGGATATCATTCAACAATTCAAAGTCAAGGTAGATTGTTTAGATTTTGATTTGATATTAAGCTAATGTATGCTTTAACTAAAAGTTAATAAAAATTTACGTCAAAATCAACCATTAATTTTAATTACGCATTTTAGGTGACTCGTAACTTTTCAATCATATATGGCTGAGGACTATATTGTATCTCATTCGGTCCGATTTTGGGGTGTGCTTGGGGGTTTAGGGTTTGCGAGAAATTCTGGATGATTGTATATAATTGATTTTCATATAGTGGAATATCAGTCTCCAATTGGAAAACCGAGCTAAAGTGATCCAGAATATTTGGAACTCAAATAAACCTCATTATCCTAGCTTACAACTGTGGACCAATATCGTGGTCCACAAAGGAAAAACATCATACGACTTTGACACAAACATAATGAAATCCTGAAAGGATATAACGTCTCGTTCTAGATAATAATAAATAAGTTTCTGCAGTAAAAGTAGTTGGAAACCCTGTGACACGTGCTATTCCATAATTGTTTTATTGTCTCAACACTTTCAACATTCCCCGAATATAGGAGGGTTAATTACGCTAATGGACACTAAAGTTTTGATTAATTACATCAATAGTCATTGAAGTTATTTTGTTACGGCAATAGTCACTTGTGTTTCTAACAGCCACACTAATGGTCGATTGGTCTAACAAAATTAATTTTAAATGCCAACATGTGGCGTTGTTTGTTATGTCAAGTTAGCAAAATCGTTGTTGAAAAGAAAGACCTAGGTTTACTACATAATTTAATTAAGCCAAAAAAAAAAAAAAAATCAGTCCAAAACTTAAGTTGTCTTACTCTGAATGCTTTTAATTTTCAATTCATAACTCCAAGTAACGCCTTTTGATGACACGCTAGGACTTAATGGTGATGCTTATGATTTAATGCTAATTTTTTTGGCCGAGTGACAAATAGTGTAGTTGTTATCTTCAGTGACCATTTATATAATAACTCAAAACTTCAGTGACTAATGACGTAATTAAATGCTAGTTAAGCAAGATCTAATATCAAATAATTCCTAAAAGAAAATATCTTGCCTCTTGCTTGTAAGTTTCCATTGTCATCAAGACAAGGTGGAAACTCCTATTCATTCCTTGAGATACGTTAGCATTGCAGCAGTGCCATAGATCTCCTCTATCTCTCCCTCCGTCATGCACAATCCACCATCAGAGTTCTTAAATGGGTACGTACTTGGTTTAATTTATGACATCAATTGCCTGATTGCATGCTTGGAATTGATAATAAATTTCCTCTTCTGCAGGTTAAAGAATTTACTGCAGCAGTCAATGATATAGAAGGTGAATACATTGGAAGCTGCTCTGATGATGGTTCGGTCGTAATAAATAGGAGAAAATGAAACTTGATTATCACCGTCCTATGCATTAGACCCAGAAGATTCGTCAAGGGAGGTTTAGCTAGTCATCTATATTTTAATGTCAAGAAGTGGACTATTCTACTCTACACCCATGCTAATGTAAAAGACAATCTTGATCTCAGAAAAATAATATCCTTTTTACACTCTGGTGAAGGTCCAATTCACGTAGTTAAGTGGAGATCTAGTCTCATATAATGATACGGGTGTCAAAGTTTATGA